TCGCGAGCGTCTCTGTCTCGTCGGACACTTCAAACATACAGCTCAAAAAAACATCGTCATTTTTCCGGTCCGAAAAACAGGATGGGCGAAAAGCTGCACATTTACAAAAATATTTGCCGCGAATACATTGCCATGTATGCGTAAAATGATTTTTCACTGATGCCCAGACCACCACTTGCTAACACGTTAAATCTCCATCTTCACAATTATCGGCATCTTTCTCCCACGGTAATCAAGCGTGTTGAAAGTCCACAGTGTATTACTACCATCTCAATTGATGGTTCTCTTCGTCCCATATGGTTATGAAAATACAACAGGGAAACATTTCGAGCATGAATGCACACATCTCTGCTAAAGCAATGACCATTTATATTGTAGATCATTCTATCACTGCGTGAAACTGCGAAAAGAGGAACAAAACAAAGATATTTCCAACAGGTAGCAGAGCTAAATGGAGTTTTTAACGTAATCTGCTTAGAAAGGAATAAGTTTTAGCAGGTGTGGTGCAGAAGCATCTTTGAAATTTAAAACTAAAATCTATGAAGGAAGGGTCACTTGCATTTTGGCATTTTTATGCAAATACACGGACAAGATGTTAAATATATATATATATATATTTAACATCTTATATATATATATATGAGTGTGTGTGTGTGTATGTAAGCGTGCATGTGTCTGTGTGTTTGCATTTTGGCATCCACTTTCAACTCGGCAATGAGAAGCTGGAGCTTCACGAGCATGCTCCCACCCCATGTGCGATCCTTCGTTTTAAAACCACCGTTCAAGTATGCTAGATCTCAATTACTGACGCTGAAGAACCTACTGCGCAACCTGGATGACCACTGTTCACTGAAAATGAGTTTACTGAAGCGTAGAGGACTTGGGGTTGCAAGCTTCAACCAATATCAAAAGATAAGGCAATGTGCAAGCTGCAGTTCAATAAAAGAATTGCTGGAATAAAAAGAAATTTTCAAAAATTTGGTGACGCTGTTTATTTTATGGGATCATGAACGAATAAGAGCCCTTAAACATGCATAGTATGACTGGTCAACTGGTATCCCAGCAAACTTCGCCAATGAGAGAATTCTAAAGGATATTTCCTGAATTGTAAAGAGTTTCAGAATGGAGCCGGATGAACGAAACGGAGAGGCTAGAAATTAGAAAATTCTGGCCTAAACGACAGCCAATTTTCGATTTTCTGGACAAAACTGTACCTTATATTTGATATTTCGACTTTCCATCGTAGTTACAACTCAGCAGATAGATATAATTTTAAATCGTTTGTTCTGAAAAAACCTAAACCTAACAGATCTGCACAGTCATAAACCACATTATAATTCATCAAGATCACAAGCATCTGCAACGATTGAGGAGATTCATTACGCTGAAGACAGCTATGGGAGACCCCCCCTCCCCTCCCTCTTCTCCCGATTCCAGTGCGCACTTTCTAAGTCCACTGTGCTTACATGATATTCACAGCAAAGAACTAAAGCTGCCTTGTAATGCACTTTTCCACTAATTTAAAATTCAGTGATGTTAATTTAAAAATAATCTGAATTATTTGTATTACTTAAATGCGGTTTGAATTGAAATTCCGAATGGAAGACGCCATTAGCGAACTGACAGCGAGCTGATCGAGGCTATCACAGAGCAATAGTCATCTGCAATCGATGGTGCGAAAATGCGCCGCAAAAAACAGCAACTGATCGAAACAATAGCTCCGCCGTGGCTGGAATTTGAACCCTAAACTGTAGTGCACCAAGCTTGCCGGTGCTACTATGCGTTCTGCACTAGACTTGAAGCAATCCAGTCTTTAATCGTATCACTGGTTATGCGTTTTTGCATATATGCAAAACGCTTGCTATGACGATCCCTGTGTGTGTATGTGTGTGCGTGTGTGTGTGCGTCTGTCCGGGTATTTCAGCTCGGCAGTCAAGCAAGCTTCGGCGTCGAAATTTTGCCGGTGGGTTCCCCAGTCAAGTGCCACCTAGGACAGT